ATAGGCCTGTAGGTTACAGACCTCATAGCTGATCTTATGATTAGAAAACAGGCGTTTTGCTTCTGGTGAAGACCAGAGCCTGCTGTAGTATGGGTTCTCAAGAACAAAGTAACGTCCGAGCTTCATTTGGTGGTCTGCGACCGATTCACAGAATTTTAAAACAGAAAGTCTCTTGGCAGAGCCTTTCTTCCACTGTGAGTACCAGCTAGACCACTGAGAATGGTCCGGTGACATAACAATAATAGTAGGTTCTTGTTCCTTGATGATCCTAAGAAGATTGGAGCGACCTTGCGGTTGCTCAAGATCTAGACCGCTACGCAAATCGACTGGCTGACCTACTCGCAGACCTGACAGGGCAGCTTTGTGACTCATGCGGGGAGATCCGCCGTAGAGTTCTAGGAAGTCAATTTTCCCAGTGCTGGTGACCTGCCAGTGACACTCTTGATGTGGAACCGTTAGGTCTGTCGACTGCAGGGAAGCATCGAAGGTGACCATGCAACTTGCGTGGTCAGAACCTTCTGACGTCAGAGTTTCCTCATCAGGCGCGAGAGGAATCTCCACATCAGATGTTATGTCATAATTTTTCCTCAGTTTTGAGATATTGACGCGGACGATGCGTGTTCCAAGATCCACACCTACCATGGATCCTCCGAGTTCGGAGATCACCTTTCCTTTTAGCCAAGATCCATGTTTGGACCCAGTGGATCCAATCTTAGACTTATCTTCTGACCAGTAGAAAACCTTATCTCCCAAAGAGAAAGGTCCTTGGGTCATTGACAGTCTGGCTGCAAGATCTCTACGCAGATCATCAGATTGGCGTGCCTCTTGGTAAGCCCTGTTGGCAAGCTCCTTAATGGCTCTCGCAGTGACTTCCGTATCAGTTGGATTACCTGTCAACTGATTGGGATCAGCGTTCTCTGGTGTTATAACATCTCGAGGACGCCTTCCAAAGGCCATTTCCAAAGGAGTAACTCCTCCGTAGGTAATCGAAGAGTTTCTTGCCAAACATGCTTGGCGAACGAGGTTGCCATACTTCATGGTGATTCCGTTATACTGCGGGTCACCATCCTTCAGGATCTGAAGTATGAGCTTAATCTGATGCTTCAGCAATCTTACAGCAGCTTCGGCCCTGTTGGGCCATGGTGTTCCAGGTCCTGTTGCCACAGGCTTGATATTCTGCCGATTGTAATAAGCCTCCATTTTTGGAGTCATGAATGCTTGATCTCCAACTACAACCTTTGGGTTGATCTGAAATTTCTCAAAGTAGTCATTCATAATCGACATTGTAGTATGTTCTTCTTTATCCTGGACTACTTCGGCAGTCAACAAGTTTGTTGCTCCATCATAGAGAATAAGAAATACTAAGCGACTATCCTTGCCGGGAATTGGAAGCTCACCGTGATCTACGAAGGTGAGATCACCGAAAGTCTCTGATCTTAAACCAGAAATCTTCGCTCTTGAAGGAGCTCTCACATGTTCCTGGCAGGCTGAACACTTTTTGACCAGTTGGTCATATAGCTCGTATATCTCCTTTGGGATCTGTAAGGCTTTTGTGCGTCGCTTGAACTGATCCGTACTCATATGACGGTGCTTAAGGTGAAGCTTATAGAGTTCTACAGGGTCCTTAAGCTTCTCATGAATCCTGCGAAGAGCAATGGGAAGAGATGGCGATGGTTCCGCGACAATCTCTTCACCTGTAGGTGAGTCTGTACCAGGAGCCGGGTATTCTCTTGACTCAAGTGGTCTTACCTCCGTCCCGTCATCAGCTCCTGGGACCTTAGACTTCTCTTCAACAGGAGGTTTAACCGCATATTTGCGGGATTTCTTCAGAAGGTTTTTAAGACCCTTTGGAGTCTTTATCTTCGCAGGTGGGACCTCAAGTCTTTCTTCTTCTGGAGGTTCATGTGGTGCAGAGGATTCTGCAGGTTTGTCCCTAGAGCCTGATGATGGTTCCGATGGTCCGGAAGGCTCAGGAGCATCACCAGATGGTTCTGGTGGATCAAGTTTCTTGGCAGATGATTCTGCCGGATCAGATGGAAGAGGCTTCTTTTTACCTGAAATCCTCTTCGGTGGTGGATCAGCTGCTCCCTCAGGTGCTTTGTCGCAACCCTTGAGGTACGTGTGAGCCCTTTTCTGTCCGGCACAGGCTGGACAGCGACCTTCCGGTATCCTAGTATAAGGCTTCTTGGCTCCTAGAGCAGTCTCCGTCGCACTGAACGACGTACCTGACTTAGGGAGATACTTCCTGGTGGAAGTGAAGCCTAGAAGGTCCAATACCAAATGGTTATTGGTACTAATCGGAAGAGGGGTTTTATACAAACCGAAAGCTTCACACGTTGCTAGGTCAGCTGTGGGACTACACTCGAGGGTCATTCTTAAATTCCTCATCTGTTCGATGGAAAACAAAATGGGGACTCTCCCCTGATCCAAAACTTCTATGGTTGTATCTCTTCTTGGAGTTGTGTTGAACCATAGAGTTACACGCTCCTTGATAAGAGCTGTTTCACTATCTGCGAAAGAGAACTTCGTGTTCGAAGGTGAAAAAGTGAAATCAATCATGCCTGGGGCACGTTGCTTCACGGCCTTGATAAGCCTGTTCACCGCATAGCGGGAACCCATAGCCCTAGTACAACCAGAGTCAAGTATGACAAAGGTAGGGCTCTTATCAAGATTGATCCGCTCTGTGAGAGCAGATAGGACGGTGTGCTGCAACGGAAACACTGCTGTTGCAGTCTCCACACCTTGCCCCTCGGATGGTTCAGAGACCTGGGGCACGTAACTCACTGATGAGTTGTACACGGGTTCTTGGTGCGCGCTCGGATCTGTGCCTCTACCTGATGATCCTGCTTGATTTCTTCTCTTCTTTCTCCGTGTCTTTCTTCGTGAGGCTTGTGATGCATAGTATGTATAAGACGTTTGATCGTCATAAGCGGCATAATTCCAACTGGAGTCAGTATAATAACTGTCCTCATACCATGAATCCCAGCTCGGTGCGGTGGAACTTTCATAGGCCTGTGGAGATCCAGTTTGGTCTCCTTGTAAGGAGGCAGACTTAGCTGTATCCTTACCTTTGCCTTTTGCCTTTGTACCTTTGAAGGAGCTTCCTTTATCTCCTTTGTCCTTTCCTTTTCCTTTGCCTTTTCCACCTTTTCCTTTTTCCTTTCCCTTACCTTTACCGAAATAGCTGGAATCAGTTGGATCATGTTCTGCCTGGTTGGCTCTCCCTTTTCCGCGGTATGACCTAAAACGGCCACGTCCTTTTCGCTTGCCACCCTTTGCTCTTCCCGGTGATCCGGGACGCATTCTTGGTCTTCTTCCCTTTTTGAATCTCCTTGCAACGAAGGCTTCATGGTCGTCAACTGTCCAGAAGACAGCTTCTTCATCCTCGGCGGCAAGAAAGCCTTCCTCAAGGGTGTCTTCGTCTTGGAGCCAGAATCCATCGACTCCATCGTATTCACCCTGATCGAGGATGAGGAAGTTTCGACCTCCGCGTTTACGGCGTTGGTCTCTCCTTCCATGGCGGTCCTTCTTGTGAGAAGAGTGCCGAATGTTGGGATCCTGCAGACCAGTTCTGGTCGTTGAGAACTGATCGAACATGGTCTGCCGTACCACAGGGTACGTGTAGGTCTCAATTCGGTGACCTTGGTTGGTCAATGCTGTTACCAACCTCTCACGTTGCATCTCATTTAGGTCGGACTGCACTAGGAAGAGGAGAGCTAGGAGATTATCGTTCAGAGGAAACGCTCTTCGATGATTGTCAAGGCGTTCCTTGTTCCATGTTTCGAAATAGCGTGCGGCGTATGTGTCTCTCTCGGTTGCATCCTGTAGGCGCAAGAAGGTTTGGTCTGCCTGCACAGCTTGCATGAAATCTGGATGGGCATCTTCCAGAGCTATCTCTGGTAAGAGATCCATCCATGAGTTTTTCACGCGCTGTAGCACGATCTCAAACTTAGCAATCCAAGTCACAAAGTCTTGGTTGCCCTTCCATGCCTTGAATAGGCCGAGGAAACGCCACAGGAAAACGTACTGTTCTCCTTTCACGAAAAATGGACGCATCTTCTTCTTGAAGTAATCTACTCCATCTGGGGCTGCAAGCCTTTCTCGGTTAAGTGATTCCTTTTGTACTGCGGCCAATCCGGAGAGCCTCGTCTTGAGAGACGGACCTCTTTTGGTGTCATCCAGCGTTGTTATGTCGCACCAGTCGTCAATCAACTGTTCATACTCAAACCACGAGGTGGTGCCATCATAGGCAGGCGCGATCTTGGGCGTTATGCCTAATGATGCAAGCATGCGGTCAGATGTTGCATATGACTGTGCGACATAAGTGGCTGGACCTTGGGAGGTCTCTTCGTTCTCATATCCCCCGGAGGATTGGGAACTGCCGTCGGCTTCGCTATGCGAGCTCGACATTGTGCTGCCTCTTATCCGCTTGGTCAAGCGTTCGGCGAGGCCGACCGCTGTAGCGGACTTTGTGAGGCGGGCGGCCCTTTCCGGGCTCCGCTACCAGAAAACTGTGCCGATACACCCACAAGGAATACTCCTTGTTAGGAGGTGTATGACCAGTTATTCCCTAAGGATCAAAGGGCAGCGCCCTGCACACGGACAGTAGTTGTTTTGTCTTGCTACGCAAGGAGAGCTTGTCTTGTCTCAATATGGTAAAACCACTGTGAGCCAATGGGCAGCGGAATGTATATGTATGAGCATGCAGCCATTGCTGTAGGTACCTGTTAGAGCTACCCCTTTAGAGGTTTATGGTTTCACCCCCCCCCTCCACCCCCCTTACCCATTCTCCTCGCACTTCGTATCAACAACCGTGTAAAGGTTGGGATCGACTGCCTGCCGCTACACAGCCGAGGCGGGCGGCGTAGCGTTAAAATTAACACAGCCCTGTGCCTCTTTCGTTCGCGGCCGCCGCCACTTCGTGGCCGCATCTGGGCTGCAGTGTTTAAAGAGGAGACTTGTTTGGTTCAGAAGCCCTCCGCCCTCTCTGAGACGCAAGCCAGCTCGAGGGCCTCCTTATCGTCACCTCAGACTCGGGCGCATGGGCCCTTTGGGCGGCTCTCCAAGAAGAGCTCCGAGGACCCGCGCTCGAGGCTCCGCTTGGGGACTTCCTTGGAGCCGAAGAAGGGCCGAGTGTAAGGGTAGGGCCGGGCAGGGGTGGAGGGCCGCCTATAGGCCTGGGCCCCCGGCAGCGAAGGCAACGCACCCTGGCAGCACAAGGCCCAGGCCTCAGCGGAGTGGAAAGAGAGACAGAGACAGAGACAGAGACAGGTGCACAGAGGCAAAGCAAGGCGGGCCTTCGTGACCGCTCTTCCAAGTCGGGCCGTGGCCGCATCGTCCCGGCTCAGTGCTCGCCGGAGTGCCTCCCCGTGGCGGCACCAAACCGGCAGAATCGCTCGAACTTTCGAAGCTTCGGATCTTCGAACGCCTTGGACAGCTCCAGCTGACACGAGTGCGTAAAGCCGGCAAACGCCATGGCCTTAGGGGTTCCAAAAGATTCCGGTCCACGGTCCCCTCTGAACCGCTATAAGCTGAGCTATCGACCTGCTGCGACTGAGTGAGCCGACGCTCCTCCAAGGAGATCCAAACAAAAAAAACACACACACACACACACAGTATGGGTCCAAGATTAGGACCCTGGATGTAACTGCCAGAAACTGCTCTACTCACAGCATCAGCTCCCACTCCCGTCTCCTCCAGCGGCCAGGCACCGGAAAGCCTCTCCATGCTCTGACCTGGGCATGGCTCGGCTCCAGCGACACATGAAGGAGGCGGCTGAGGTTCCGACCCCCGGAGAGAGTCGGAAGTAGAACCCGCACGAGCTTCTCGGACCTCCGTCAGCCACATTGAGCGATTTTGATGTCAAGCCAACCTACTGAATCGTTTTCTCGCTCAGCGTTGCTCTATAGAGGATATCGAGCGCAACTTGACTGCGGGCGACGATCTAAACCTGTATGCCTATGCAGGTGCCTCTAGTCCCCCCCAACACCCGAAACACCCGAAGACTCCCGCGGGGCCTGGGTCGGAGATCCAAGCTGCCCAGCACCAGCGTCAGCTCGTTCTGGGAGGAAGAGCGGTTCATGGTTCATACCCTGGAATCCGCCCCGGAAAAAAAACACTGCTTCGGCCTTCAATCCTGAGATCCCACTTTTCGGCGGAGTGAATTTTTGCAGAGGGTGCGTTTCTTCAATCCCCGTGCTGCAAGGAGCTGAATACACTTATACTAGAGTACCTTTCATCTTCCAGCAGTCTGGCTGGAAGCCTAGGCTCGCAGCCTCAGGGCCGGCCGAGCCACGAAGCCAAGACTTCTACACGATGAGGGTGTACGGTTTAGGAGCCGTGGCAAGTTGTATCTTTACAAGGGATGTGCCAACCCTTTTGCGGTGCTTGGGTATCTTCGAAAGGTGGGACTGTTTTCGGATGTGTTTTCGCAGCTTTCCCCATGCTGCTCTGGGAAGATGTGGGCCAGCATCATGAGCCTTTGTGGCCGACGCTGTGGGGCTGGAGCGTGCCGTTCACACCGAGTCACCATGGTTTCAGCGGGGCTCCGACGCCGAACGTGTCAAAGCGCCCCCAAATGTGAGGGGATGGTGGCAGCTCCAACCCCCTCTTCGCCTCTACAAAAACTGGCCAGGCCTGCAACGCGGCAGCGAAGCTCTCGACACGGCTCTGAGAGAGCGGACTCCGCCCCATCTCGACCTGCGCGGGCGCTCTCTTCCCTCTTCCCAGAAAGGAAAGCCTGGAGTTTGGCGATGTTAAACGAGCTTTTATCGGGCTGAGTGTTTTCGGCGATTGGTTTCGGGCCGCCTCGTGGCGCATGGCCGCCAAGCCAACGGTCAGGTGCGATGGCGTTGCAGGCCTGGCTCAGCATGCGTCAGAATCCCATGTACATCTTTGGGTGAAAGAAAGACTTGGACCTTAGAAACTCTCGCAAATCCTCTTTGAGCACACTTAGGGCAGCGCGGATCCCTGCAGCCGTGGACGTCGATGTGGAGCAAAGGCCGCAAGTGCCCCTCCTCTGTCAGACAGCTCATGGACCAGCTGGCACAACACAGAGAAGCGCTGCTGCCCGTCCTTACCATGACGCCACTTGTCCGCAAACCTGCTGCATGGCACACTCGACAGCGGCGGCAGGATGCTTCGCTTCCGCGCAGCGGTGGCTGGGGCCTCGCCATTTGGCGAAACCACGGATTTTGAGCCACCTCCTCGTTCAGCAAGTAGTTCCTGCCAGGGAAGGGGTGCCTTCGCCGCACTCGCCGCGGCACTTGGCACTGAGGGTTGCACGGATCCCGATTGCAAGGCTCCAGGAAGCTGCTGAAATCCTCGGCCTGCCATCAGGGTGGCTCTGTCCACTCAGGCCGTTCTCAAGCTCAAGCTAGCTTTTGAAGCTTCGCCTCGCACCGAAGGCGGGCCAGGCACCACTGCAGCTCGGACCTCCAAGTCCGAGTGCAAAGCAGAGCCAGACGGAGCTCGTGCCGCGTGGGCATGGGGGGCCTCTTCTGCTCGGCCCTGCTCCAGGACAAGGACGTCCCACCTTTTCAGCCGGGATTTCCCTTTAAAACTCGCAGAGACCAAGGCGAGGCTTCGCTGGCCTAGATGTCTCGCCATCCGCTGGGCGATCAGAGTGGTGTACTCCTCAGATTCTCAAGGCCTTGAACGCATGAGAACGCGAACGAGACCGCCGTCGACTCCGAACAAATCAGAAGTCAGCTAAGTCTCCTCCATCATGTGAGGCGGCTGGCCATCCCTCCGCAGGTAGATGTTGTGGGGAGCCTTGGGGCTAGGCTTCTTGGCTCCGGCCCGGGCTCAAGGACCCCTCTCTGCGCTAGGCCGCAGGCGGTGAGGAGGATCGGCTGGTTGCCCTCCACGGACACCTCGATGCGCTGCCGCGCGCGCACCTGAGAAGCAGAGGCTCGAGCAACCAAAGCAGCCGCTGCGAAGTCGCGCCTCGAGCTGCTCGGCCAGCCAAACCATGGCCTCTGCCTGCGTCGCTGCGTCGCTGCGTCGCTGCGTCGCTGCATCGCTTCGGCTCGTCCCTGCAGCTCCGCGCTCGCCACCCTGGCCCAGAGGCCTTCAAGCCCCGACAACCGCCCTCCTCGAGCATGTGATTGAGCCGGCACCTCAACAAAAGCAGAGCGGAGGTCTCCAAACGCGACTTACGTCTCTTTTGCTACCGAGACGCTTCCCGGCACTCCTGTCGTTCAATGCGGTCAGGAGGGCCTGGGGGAGAGATCGCAAGCGGGCTTCGATGTCGCAAAGCCGCTTCGCCTCGCCACCCCCCCCCCAACCCTGCCTGTGCGGAGCAGATCCCGCATTGAACCAGCCTGTGCCAGGACGAAGGTCTCCGCCCCTCGAGTCCCCCCATCTGCAACAGCCTCTGGTAGGCTGCATCCCGGTCGTCGCGGGACCACTTCAGCTGCATGCTGTCCTGGGGCCGAAACTCTCCAGAAGCACTTCGGAAGCGGAGATTGGCGAAGGCCCCTTTGCCCGCCTCGAGCTCCTCCAGCGCCAGGGCCTGCTCGGCCAGGGCCTCAGGCGCTTTTCTTGGCTTGCGAAGAGCACGAGTCTGAGTGAGAGCACGCTCCCTACAGTGCTCAGCAGTGCGTGCTTTGCACGTGCCCGCGCCGAGTGTTGGGCCACGAGCTCTTCGGGTTCGCCGGGGAGCGCCTCCGGACCTGGCAGGCAGCGGGAGCTTCCCTCCGCTCTCCGCTCTCCGCTCCCGGACTCGGGGGCGCTCCGGGCCTGGCTGCGAGCTTGTGGAGTATCCTCAGGCAAGCTCCGCACGGGTCTTACGCGCAGCTATGTCTCTTGAGCAACTCGTCCTCCACCAGGCGCTCGTCGCAGCATCTCGAGGATATCCTGACGACAGGCAAAGCAAAAAGCAACAACCAAAGAAGTGCTTGCGTCTCTTCTGTTCTTTGCAGCCTTGGTAAGCTGGGTGAGCCCACCGCTCCTCCTGACAGCGAGAAGGAGGCTTGGAAACGCTTTTCTGCGACTCGGCGACTCCCTTCTGCGGCTCGCCCTGCGCTTGCCCTGCGCTTGCCTGATCAAGGGCTCCAGCGCCGGGGCATCGCGCAGCAGCGTGTCTTGGACCGGCGAGGCCTCACCAGGCGCAGAAGATCCTTGAAGCTGAAGCTAGAATCAAACAGAAAGGCCTCGAAGGGCACGTGAGAGTGCGCCCGTCCCGCGATGGGTGCCATGGTGCACTGCACGTCCAGGAATCGAAGGAGTCGGCAGAACTGGGATTATTGTTGAGTGACCGCTCACTGCGTCTGTGCAGAACTCCAGAATGATCCTGCGAGCAGACGGTAGAGGCAAGATGAAGAGCGATGACTGCAGATGCCGGTGTAATCCTCGCACTCTCTCGTCGTGCCCACGCCTCGCTCCTTTTATCTGCTGCGGCTCGGAAAGCTTCTCGTGGGGTCTTTTGAAAGACGCCGAAGCTCGAGGAGTTGCATTCAAGTACGGCTAGGTCTAGGTCGCAATGTTGTTGGCTGTTGTCTGTGTTCCACGCAACTCCTCTTGGCCTGCGATGAGATTAACGATAACGGGCCGAAAGATGGCCTCCCCCCAGAGATGCGTAGAGCTGCTCTCCTCTTCGGCTTCGTGTCTGCTTGAGGCTTCAGCCGTCCCACGGCCCAAACCACCCCACCCTCGTGGAGCGCAGGAGCTCAAGGTTCGCATCCGAACCCGCTGGAGAGCAGAGCTCAGTCATTGGCAGGTCAAAGGCTCGAAGCCTTCGAAGGACCTCAGACCTCCTCTGAGATCGACGTTCGGCGTCACCTCGGCGGCTGCCAAGGCGCATGGAGGGCTGCAGTGGGGGGGAACCGCCACAGGCCCCAAGTCTCCGGCTGCATACCATAGCCGCCGTAGCCGCAGCCGCCGCAGCCGCCGCAGCCGCCGCAGCCAGGGCCAGCTCCCCATGCCTTAGCAGAGTGGTCGGCAAGGACGCTCCCCCCCGAGACGACGTGCCGTGCCAACCCCTGTGAGTCTAAGCTCGGAGCACCCGTCTGCATTGGCCTCAGCACAGTCTGCATCACAGCTGTTTCGGCAGACTTTTGTCAAGAACCCCGACCCCCCCCCCCCCCGCTGCTGCAGAGTCCCTTGCGGTGCCATCGTTTGTTGTGGGGCGCCCCACATTCCATTTCCCTGTCAGGCACGGCACGCCATCTTCTTTCGTTGCGTCTTGCAGCAGATCTCCTAACAGAAGAGAAAAGCCGCGTCCAGCCTCTTACTTTATCCTACTGCAAAAGATGCTGGAGGCGTTGCTGTTCTCGCACGCAGAGCTGGAGCTGAGAGCGTGGCCGCTGCTGGCCCTGGCCTAACGGCACAGGAGGAGAAGAGGAGGAGGGACCCGGCCAAAAGCATAAGCTTGGGTTCTCTCCGCACCATTCCGCACCCATAAGGCCAGCACATCTGCGCATAGCCGCTGGCCTGAGCGCAGGCTTTCTGTGAAGCTTCCCGCCGGACTAGACCATCCTTGACACAAAGATGTGCGCAAGAACTTGGTGCAATGTGTCTGTCAACTCTCTCGCAGCACTAGAATCGCACGTGTGATCAACGGGCCCGTTCCGGAGTTTGCTAAGTCCTGGGCCGCGGCAAGACCGAAGTCGCTCCCGGAGGGCACCGGCGCCGGCGCGGGCATGGGCCCCGCCGGGCGGCCAGCCATCGGCGCTGGCATCGCCCCGCCGAGGCCGAAGTCCGCAGCGCTCTGACCGAAAGCCTGAAGACCCGCGGCGGCACGAGCGTCCACCGATGGCCGAGACTCGGTGCCCGACCCCCATCCCAAAGTCGGCTGGGTTCCTGGTCACACAACTCGGAAACGCCATTCGATGGTTCCGGTACGGACCTCCCCGGACCCGAGGCCCTGACACGTGACCGCCGTAGCTGCTGTAGCCCACGTAGGTTTGAGTGTAGGCACCGGGTCCCGGGCTGTAGCCTCAGACTCAGACCGTGCTAAATCCCCCAGCACTGTTGAAACGGACCGAGGCTGTTGCTGTTCACCGGCCTGGGCTGAGCGAAGAGCCACAGGTCTATAGGCTCAAAGCCGTGCTCTGCCCTGAGCATCTGGCTGTGGCATGGGGGGTGCGGCTCCATAGCCATTGCAAGCCTCAAGCTCCCGACAGTGAAGCCCGACTTTGACCGCGAACAAAGCCGGAGCCCTGAACTCTCCAAGTCGCCGCATGTCGCCACTCTTGGCACGGGGCCGGGGGCGGGCGCGAGGCTGGAGGCCGCGAGGCTGCAAGCCCTCGCGCAGCCCTCGGCCACACAAGTCTCGGCCCCGCTCCTCCTCCTCCTGACAGGCACTGACTCTGAGGCTGCGGCGCTCCTTCCTCCAGCGCTTGCAAGGGCGCCTGCGGCACCAACACTGCAGCGTCCACAAGTCCCTTAAGCCGGCCCCCCCCCCGGCGGCCCCCGGCCATCTTCACCACTGTGGAGTTCAGCTTCGTTGCCGGCACCCAGCCTCTCTCAGCGCGCTGTGAAAGCGCCGCGGCTGGCTCTGAGAGAGAGGCGCGTCTCCTTGGCTCCCCTCCCCCGGCCTTTCTTCTCTTCCCCGAGCTTCAGAAAGACCTGGGCTGCGGGGCGCTGGGCGGAGAGCTTCGGAGCGGAGAGCCTCGCCTCCTCCTCTCTGCTTCTCTGGGCCCCGCACGTCGCCGTCTGAAAGAGTGACCTTCTCGGACACGATCACCCGTGCCCTGTCGCAAGGCTTCAAGCAGCTGGACCACGAAGCGAAGAACCTTCTAGGGCCTAGGGCCACCGCCTGTACTTCAGCTTCTTGTTGCCGTTCCGGGCTTGGGAGCGCGTGGGCGTGGTGCGCACTTGGGCGCCGTCCTCACAGTGAGGGGGTTCGCTGACGCTTCACTACTGGAGGCAACACAGTCCTTGTCATTGCAGACGTAGATCCATTTGTGTCGCTCGCGCACAACGAGGTCGCAGGCCACCTCGCAGCACGTTGAAGTGCAGACTTCATCCACTCCTGTCATTCCTTTCGACAGGCCTCAGATTCGATCCCAGAACTTGGGACTCTCTTGAACTTAGGCTCGCATGCGGCTCTTTGCTGCGATTCTCAAGCCCTCCGAATCTTGAAACCTCTACCAAAGAAAAGCCTGGTAGCCTCCTTAGCTTGAGTTCCGGGTCTGGGGGCTGCCTTGCCCGCGCTGTCGTCCCGCGAGACCCAGCAGCCGTCTATCAGCCTCCGTCACATTGCACAAACTCAACCACCCAAATGCGCTGCAGCACACAACAGCCACAACTGCGAAGCTGCAGATTGGGGCAACTAGGCTTGATTCCAAAAATCGGAGCCAGAGGATAAGGAAGCAGGAAGAGCCCTGGGCGGCGCCTGTAAAAGGCCAAGCCAACCGTACGAAGCTCCTCCACCGCCTCAGGGAGCTCTCAGAGCTCTGAGTGGAGGCGCAGAGGCGGAAGATTCAACCCTCCGGCTCTCCTCGACGAAGTCGCCTGGGCTCAAGGTCTTCTTTGTCGCCCGCCTCCTCGCAAAAACACGCGTGGGGAGGCAGCGACGCGTCCAGGCCTCTTGCGCCCCACCCCGCCATTCCTCGAAGGAGCTGAGAGCAACGGCACCGGATTCTTGGAGACCACGGACACCCAACAGGGCCTCGGAGCCGGAACCGATCCCTTGAATCGCTGAGCTTTCACTCAGGACTCGGGTCACCACTTGCCATGGAACTTGGGCTCTGCAAAGCCACCGGCCTGGGAAAAGGAGGAGAAGGAATCGCGCACAAAACGACCCGCTACCAGCCCGGCCCGGCTCCTGAAAATCGCAGAGGACCGTTTCTCCAGCGCTGGGATCTTTGATGCCGCAATGCACCCTGGCCGCATTCAAGGATCGCTCTCTGTGCAGATCTCTTTTTTTACTCCTGAGGAGCGGGGCACGTGCAAAGAAACGTGAGAATTTTGGGAAAACGACCTCAGCTCACCAAGCCAGCCCTCAATGCGGCGCTGATCTTCCACCTGTCTTGCGAGCACAGGGCGCGCTTTCTCTCTCTCCGCCACGCTCCCGTGTCGGCCTTGTAGTAGCGCGCCCAGTTCTCCCCGAAAGGAGAGGGGACGAGAACCTGCACCTGCGAGAGAACCGGAACTCCAGGAACCGGAGGAAGTGGCGGAACCGGTTCCGGCCGCTGCCCGCCTTGCGGATCACCTCCACCACCGTGCCCGCCAGCCTCGGAGTCTGCAGAGTCCGAAACCGGGAGATCTCGGCTACAAAACTCCTCAGACCAGACGTGCTACATCCCCTTCTGCAGAGCTGTCAGCTACGTTGTTTCTGGGCTCCGGTCAGCTCGGGAGCCCCGGTGACAGCGCCGAAAGCAAAGGGCGCCGGCAGGATCTTCACCTGCGCGGCACCCGGAAAAAGCAAACCTCCACCTCCCATGCCTCCTCCAGGATTCTACAGCGAGGCTCCCACCAAGCAGAGGCAGGCAGATAGACTAAACTAGTGGATATGCAGACAGAGATCTAGAAGTGTGTTCGTGGGTGCGCGTGAGGGTGCGCGTGCATATAGATGTGCATGCATCTTTGCTGTACAGGTGCGTGTGGACGGAAACCAGAATGGACAGAGCGGGCCCAAGTCCCGGGCCGGATTTTGCAGTCGAGGATCCAGCATCATCTTGGTGCCCTGCGGTTGCTAAGCCAGGTTTCAGGTTTCAGACGGTTTCAGATCCCTAAACCTGCGCTTCTTGCGCTTTCTCTTGTGCGTAACCTTGGGGGAAGCTAAAGCAAGATAAGCCGTGCAGCATTCTGGCGGCCTTGGCCACCTTGCCCTCGTCGCTAACTTCAGACAACTGCCTAGGTCGTTTCGCACCCTTTAGAGGGTTGAGGGTCGGGCAGGATGCGTCATTTTGCACTCGCAGCGTGCAAGCGAGCGCGCGCGCGCCGCAGGCTGGTGCTGAAAAAAGCAACAGACTGCAAGCGAGCACGAGCATCCAGCAACTGAGCTCGCCACCGCACAGGCGTGCCCTTCCCGTTCGCCGTTCTGCGGAACAATCGGGGATTGTTCTCTTGAGGGGAACCGACATGAAAACCGCAGGAGAGGTGCAGACGGGCCCAAGCTTTCCCGGATCTGCGGCTCAGCACCGTGCATTATGCAAGACGCTTCAATGTGGAGGCCTCTCCGACTTCTCCAACACCCAGCCCCGGCCATCCATCAAGCAAAGCCTGAGCTGCATAGAACCCTACTTGCAAGACGGCACTCGCTCGCTCAAAACGCGTGCTCCGAGGTCTGCACCACAGCTTTTGGCCCAGCAGCCCACGCTCACAGATCCTCACGCAGGGCGAGCACCCGGCCAGTTCTACAGTCGCATCCTTGGGATTGGAGTCTGGAGTGGTGCCAAAGAGGACATTCGGGGAGCTATGCCAGCCCCACCTGACCAGCTCGCCCGGCTGCACTGCCTGGCACTTCCAAGTGCACCGGGCAAGAACAACCGATGCTTGCGTGAGGGCAGAAAGACTCACTCCACACCCCAGTTGCCCTTGCTGAATGGATTCATACTCCCCGCTTAAGAGTCAGAAAGACCTCCCAACTCTGTCTTACCTACAAGTACCTACCTATCAATCAATCAATCAATCAATCAATCAATCAATCAATCAATCAAACAATCGATCCATCCATCCATCCAATCCAAGAATCGCACAATCAATCACTCACTCAACCAATCCATCACTCCGTCACTGGATCAATCTATCTATCTATATCTACCTCCACGCTTCACTCTGGAGTGATACACTTTGCCGGTGCTCTGCTGACCATCCTACAGGACTTCTCCACAACAAACGCCCTGCGCCGGCTTGCTTTTCACCACGTGACCCGTGAAGGGCCTGCAATCCGAGGCAGTCCGACCACGTCCTTTAACGAATTCCATTCGCAGTGACACTGTAACCGCGAGTCTCGAAGTGCCGAAACTGCATGGCGTCTAACAGAACCTGAAGCCAACACACAGTGGAAAGTGAAGGGATGCTCTTTGCGTTCACTCGGGCCGACAGAGACTCGAAAGGTGGTCGAACTGGGCCGCAGAGCTCTAGAGACTATCTTGACATAGAGATGCAAAACTGATTTGAAGGGTGTGGTGGCGAGACCAACAAGGAGAAGCTCGTCCTGCACAAGCGCCTCACTCCTGCGAGCGATTCAACCTCTGATGGATACACGCCTTCCATAGGAGCCTTCGCTCGCCACCACGGAGCGCGCTGCTTGGCAGCGGGCCGTTCTTCCGCGTTAGACTTCCAGGGGACCGCAGAGGCTTTCGAAAAAAGCTCCCCTGCCCTCCTGCGCTGGAAGGGCCAGTCCTTCTCTGGTTTTGTCCCAGCTCTGCCGGTCCCGTGAACAAAGGTGGAAATTCACTGTAACCAGACCTCGGAAGGTCTGGCGAGGAAAAGGGGGTGCGGGCATCACCTTCAGCGAGCCACTTCAGGCACTGAAAGTAAATCTCCGTACTGACGTGGCAGCACCGTGCAAGCTTAGCCACAAAGGGCATTAAAGTGCTGCCGAAGGGAAGCCCTTTTGGAGATTTTCGGAGTGACTTCGAGTGTCTTTTCTCTCGCCCCTCTCGCTCTCTCTCTTCCCGGGCTCGCCCTTAGCTCTTTTAAATCGACCACAGAGCCACGCGTCTGTCATTTCTGGGTGTTCAACGGCCCCCTGGATTGGACTTATTCTCTTTGAAGGAGACTTAGAAGAGAACACCGTGCTTCATCGCATGCACCTGGCCTTTGGCCACTGCCAGAACACCTTCCTGGAGGTACATGGGTATGTGGACATCCCACATCCACGGAGACAGCCGGCCTTAAACCGACTTCGGCATCGCTATATCTTGGCATTCTTGTGTAGTCTTACAGTATTCAGGTGTAAAGAGTGTTATAGATTCGCTACTCGAAGACCGCTGCTCGTGTGGCGCTGCAAGCTTTTCACGGAATGGCAGCAGTGCCGCCTGTGCCCGGAGCAAGCCCCAGCATGGTGAAATCATTGAGTTCCGAGTCGCAAAAGGGAAATCTACGAATCTGGTCTTGGGCGGCTGTGGACATGCTCCATAAGTGCTGCGTTTCTCCAAGGCTTCCTTCGATATCCTTCCGACCCTGTCCACTGAAGGAAACCCTGGATTTCAGTGAGACGGGGAGAAGTCTCCGCTCTGTCATTCCTTGCTGCCGGCCCGGGTGGCCTCGCAAAAGACACCAGGGCGTAGCCCCTTGTAGGCCGTATAGGAAGTGGATGGGCAGATACCAATAGGTCAAGGAGTAGACTAGGTAGAAAACCCCGGAAGAGCCCGGCCTCGTCGTGGGAGGTCTTGGAGCTCCTTCACAGAAGGTCCATCTCGGGCTTAGGGCCGTTTCGGGCCTTTAGGGTTGTATAGGGCTTAGCTCCATGCGAGGATATAACACCGAGGGCCCAGACTCCATGACCCACGTGACGTGCCGGAGAACTAGGGGACTACATGCAGGCTGTGTAAAGGAAGGGACCCCAAACCCTGCCTAAACCCGACATGCCTGCATGCCCTAAACTCTGAACCCTTCAACTTTTGGGATTCAACTACTCCGGTGACCCACTGCGTAGCGGGGGTCCTGGCTTGGAGCTCTTCTCGGCCATCCTTGCTGCCGGGGGTCGTCATCCGACCCCATGCCTCGAAGGACGTGCTCGAAGAGCTGAAAACTCTTCTTAAGGACCCTGGACCAGCTGCCCTAGCTGTGACCATCATCGGGAAGCAGTAAGAAAGTTGAAAGGAGGACCAGGACCAGCTCCGGGCTCCTCACGCTGCTCCGGCCTTCCAACTCCATCCTGCGGAGATCGGAGCGGCAGCTCCGCTGCGCGCAGCCTTTCTCTCGTTCCGAATCGTTCCCGGCCCGGGCCTGTTCCACGCGGTGCTGTTCTTGCTGACCGTCCTGGCACGAACCGCAACTCGGGGTCACCAAAACGTCGCAGACAAGAAGCATGCATTGCAGACATGCCCTTGTTTGTAGGTCCTCATTCCGAAGATCCGAGAACCCTCCCCTGAAATTCTCCCAGCTTGAGAAGGCAAGGTGTTGCCAAAGCGAACTTATGACGACCTCCAAATCTCAAGCCTGAAGCTTCTCTGAATTTACTGCGCCATGCCAGCAGGGCCGCACGAGCTTCCGGATGGGCAGCGCGGTGCCACGGGACTCGGATGGAGCTTGGCTTGACCGGAAGGCAAGAAAAGAGATCGCTCCGAGGCATGGGCCTGGTACTTGCGCTGGGTCCACAGCACCTCACCCCAGGCAAAACCGGAGAGTCCGCGGAGAGAGGTTGCCCCGCGGGTGCCGGGCCTGCATGATGTCGTTCATGGCGACTACGTCCAGCCACTCGTCTGCCTCGTGGCGGCAGCAACGGCAGCAACGGCAGCTCGGAGCTTCGGAGGTGGCGGACAGCTTCCAGCAGCTCCGAGCCTCCACCTCGTCGTCGGAGTAGACGACCTCAACGTTGGTCTCGGTCGGCTCCTCGGGCGCACCCGGACTTCATGCAAAGGCGAACTCAGAGCACTGGCGAAGTTTTTGCGCAGCGCCTCCTGGCACGGCTTGCGCCGGTGGAAGACCCGGTCGCCACAAAACTTGAAGAGGAAGGCCTGAAGAGACAGATCTCACCAAGACCAATGCAATCTACAGGTCGAAGAGCACATCTAGCTTCCCGACTTCAGATGTAACCTGGTCCTGATTGCTACCAGTTCCAGTTCTGGGGCCCCCGTCCACCAGCGCTGAGGCCACGGACAACAGTGCGCCCATCTTCGCCTTGCGCTTCGCACCCCAGCCCGGCCCAGCCCCCAATCTGCGAATTGAGAAGCCTTGCACCACTTCCACACTTAGTGACAATCTAGCAGGACTTCTGGCTCTGAAGCCACGCTCAAGCGGCAAGCCTGACTCTGGAGGCCCTTGTCCGTGAAGGCCTCGCCACGCCGGGCACGCCACAGGGCACGCCACAGGGCACGGGGGACACGTGCCATCGGCATCCATCGGCTCGGGCAGCCTCGTTGGAGACGAAGAGCGCGACGGTGAGCCCGACCTGAAAAAAAGGCTTCGGAGCGGCCCAGGGTGGGACCGCCTTTCCTTGTCTGAGCCACCGACCCCGCCGAGCGCCGACATTGCAAAGAGGTCCACGACCGTCAAGCCTCGTCGTGAACGCCGCACAGCGCCGCAGAGCATACTGAGTATAGACAGTATACCCCGCCAGCACCCCGCCTACGGGGAGAAGGAAGCCCATGCAGTGGGCGGACAGGGAGAAGAAGACGATGCCGAGGGTCTTCCCGGCCTCAGGCCGCTCGCGCGCTCTCTGTCTCTTTTGCCGCAGCAAGCACTGGGTTGTGGGCGATGAGGGCGATGACCGTGGCCCAGGTCAGCGAGCCGAGGCCTCCAACTTTGACCTCAGCGTCAGCTGCACCGAAAGTTCCCCCCGAACCGTGTCCGGTCGCCGGTCGCCGCTCTCCGAGGCGCAGGCCCCGGCATTGGCCAGGCCGAAGAAGAACATCCCGAAATCCTGAGGCTCAGAGCAGGAGCCTTGAGGGGAAGCTTCCGGCCTTGAAGTTCGATCGACAGGTGGTGGGAGAGCAGTGCTGGATACTGCTGGGCTGGCGCTTGAACGAGCCTTTTTCTCAAAGAGGCTTCCCCCAAAAGCTTCCCGTTCGGATACTTTCCGGCCAGCAGCGACTGACAGGGCAAGTCCGCAAGTTCACGTCCCTGCCCACGACAAGATTTCACTGGTTCACGCCTCGTCTCCTGTCGGTCCTGGGCTTAGAAGTGCCATCGGAGGGCACAGACACTGGGGCCCCGTCCACGAAGAGCTTCATGTGGTGCTCGAAAGCATGCAGTGGAGCGCCTTTGAGTGCCATCGGCGACCCGAAGACACGACGGAACCAAGCGCTCCGAGGTCCCGGCTCTGACGAGCCATGAACTCTTGTGCTGCTCGTATCAGCATTTCTCGGAGCAGTCACTGGGAGGCTTTGGCAGAGTGTGCGCCATGGTGGGTAGGCTTGATCAGGGCATAACATGAGAGAAACCTCTGAGAGCTGGACCGCTCTTGTTGTGCGGAATGAGGTCCCGCACCTTCGCCACCTCTCAACACGACTCGGTTTGGCAAAGCCGGGGCCCCTCGCAGAGTCTCCGAAAGGAACGGGCCGACCTGGCTCTTTGCGTGGCTCACGTGGTCATCCCCTCCGCCGTGGGCGTGGTGCGCCGGCATGAAGGGTACCTCGGCTGCGTCTCTCACATAAATTGCCCGCGGTATCGACTGCTGACTAACGGTAACTCTACGGTCCCGGCGATGAAGACTAGTGCGAGGGCAGGATGCACCTGTGATGAGCACTGCGGTTTGCGAGCCGCCGCTAGCATCCGCTAGCCACTGCAGTGGCCTGCGCCAGGATCAAGCCCAACCAGGCGATGGGCCCGGCGATGAAGACGTAGGCAGACCAGAAGCGCACCTTTGCCTGGCGCTGTTTCTGAGCAGACCCGTCCTCTTTAGCCTGTTGCTTCTCGAAGCTTGGGCATAGGCCATTCGCAGAAAGCACGCGACAACTGCCCCGACCACCACCAGCAGTAGCCTGGTATCCGCTGAGCCGCTCCCTCTTTGGCAAAGCATTGCGAGCTGAGATCCGCACCACACCGGCTCCACCGGGTGTGCTGGGTTGGGGTACGCGATGGCGATAATCGCCTGCAGAGAAGGGGACAACCGGGTTCCAGAAGCTCCGGCTTCCGTCTTCTCCGAGACTGCGGCCATGCCAAGCGCATCGTCCGCGATCGCAAGCAGCAAGAGATAGTTGATCGCAGGGTGGCCGGCACCGAAGATCAAGATTGCAAACCTCGTCGAAACACCACTTCAGCGCACCATATATCATGCGCAAACGCGCAAGACTTGCAAAGCAACGCAGTTACCCGTAGCAGCACAGTGTGACAAGGAACATCCAGGCCAGGGAAATATCCGTGGCCGTGGGAACTCCCCAGCCTCAGCAACGCAACGCTCGGGCCAGAGGAGAGACGAGGAAAACCGGCACCCGCAGCCGAGAAGGGCCGAGTCGCCATTGACGATGTCTGCGAGGGTACAGTCGACGGTGACCATTGGCACCTGCACAGGGCGCCAGTCGCCCTTCTTCGCCCTTCCGCTCTGTCGGGACAGCACAGTACCACAGTACACACACACCCTGTCCTCGGCATCGGAGCCCGCAAGGCGACGGTGCGAGGCGTCTGGCAGAGCTATGCCCGGAGCAAAGTTCAATATGCCTTTCTTCTTGGGGTGGGTCCCTAGCCTGCAACATCACTGGCAGGATGCTGGCACTGCATGCCATTGAAGGAGCCAAAGCTGTCGAAGATGAGGACGCACACCACCTGAGATCTTCAAGTGAGAACATGTCCTCAAAAAATCGCTCCGGCGGGCTTCTTTTCCTGGGCTTCGGGCGTAGGTGGCTACCGGGCCCAAGACGCCACCGAGGGTGGCCATCAATGGGTTCGTCGCCCGCCGAAGCGGGCTCAAGGAGCCGCCCGGGAGAAGCGCCTGACAGCGCCAGGCCCTCAGGCTCTGCCGCGCTCGGCTCTTCTCTATGCTATGATCCGCTCTTTTTCTCTGCTCATCGCACTGCCATGGCCTCCGTCACCTCTTTGATGGCCAGGCCAAAGAAGAAGCACATGAAGATGTCGTTGATCAGGAAGTGCAAACTCGCCTTGTCAGTGCGCGACTAGCAGCAACCTCTTGTTCAGGGATCCAAGGACGGAACGTCGTGGCCGAGAATTTGCCAGCCGGGGATGATGGGATCATGCGTCACCTTTCAAAATGAAGCTGTAACTCCAGACTCCAGACCACGGGCTTCCTCTCCTTATGAGTCCTCTCTCTGAGATGCGAAGAGCTCCGGCCCTGGCCGTCCAGTAGGAGTCCTCGGCAGTGTTCTTCCAGACCATTGCAACGATCACGCCGGTGACGAGCGGCAGCGCATACTTCCTCAGATCAGGAAACGTGCACGCGCGGAGATCTGAAGACCGCGGGATCTCGAGGGTGCAAGGAGAAGGCGTACGGCGTACGCGCTGCGGAGCTGCGGCCGGGCCGCTGCAGCACGCCCACGGCCCGCCAGACGTGTTTTTGCAGCGAGGGCAGCTCTTCCGTGTCGTCGCCCGGGCCGTGCTTGTGCATGTGGTCGAAGCCCACGTCGCTCTTCACCTCGGCGCGGGCGAAGGGCGCGAAACGAAACGGTCGCGTGGGAGGCGCGGGCGGGCCTTGCAGGTCTCTGAGGCTCAGGCGCTGGTGATGACGTTGCCCGCCTAAGGAAAGGGTCTGGAATTAGTTTGGGATTTTTTTTTTTTTTGGGTGGCATTTTTTTTTTTTGTGGTTTGCTTGGCCGATCCCTGTGGAGGGTTCATCGGGGACGTAGAAAATTTGCACCGCACCACAGCGCCAGCGCTTCGACGCGCAGGATCCCTGTGGAGGGTTCATCGGAGTTTCCTTAAAATACAGCAATTCCTGAATTTCCCAAGGGAAAACATTATTTTCCTATGGATTTTCTTTCATTTCCTTAGGATCTGATTGGTTTTTCCTCGGGGAAACACGATTTTCCTACGGATTCCGTGGTATTTCCTGAAATTTTCCCTTGTTTTTCCTAGGACAAACACCATTTTTCTATTACCTATGGCATTCGTGTCATTTCTTCAGGTTTTCAGAAGGAAAACATACGTTATCTTTGGTTGTTCCTCGGGAAAATCAAATTTTCGTTGCAATTTCGCATTAGGACGGAATTCGTGTTGTAGCTGTTGCTGGTATTCCGCTTCATCACCTATCTTAAACACACCCGCTCATTTGGCGATTCTGGTTAGCGGGGGGGTTGGGGGGGGCGCAGCCCCCCCCCATTTGCAGACACAACGCTCACATGATGGGTTTCGAAAACACTGTTTGAATCAAGCTTGCACGGCTCGAAAAGCGCGACGGTGGGTCTTTCGTTCTTCCGTGCCTGTTCGTGTCTCTTCTTCCGTCAGCATTCTATAACATAATATAACATAGTAAACCATAAGAACGACATAGGATGGTTCGACATCACAAAAACCGTGTGACATTTTCTGACATAACAGAACCTTGCTTCTTAATAGCATCTAATAAACATAACAAAAGACGACAATACAATATAACAGAAGATAACATAGAACAAAACAAGATCTTAGTTTATAGTGTAGTACATTGTAACATAGTACAATATAGTTTTTATATATAGAACATAATATTTGGTATATAATATAACACCAGGTTACATTATGCTAAATATTTTAGGGTCCATTACGATATTATTGCATATTCGATTGGACTATGTAGTATCCTATTGCTTGTATCTTTGTTTCTGTGATTCTTTCATGTTCTTTCTCTTTCGTATTTTCCAACTTTGCCTGTTTATTCTGGATTTATTTCTTTCTTTCGCTCGTTCATTTCTTTTATTTCTTTCTGGTGTTCTTTCTTTATTCATTTCATACTCCCTTCCTTCCTTTCTTTCTTGCTTTCTGTTTCATTTATTTCGTTCTTTTTCTCGTCCTTTCTTTCTTTCGTCCTGTCTTCGTTTCTTTCTTTCTTTTCAGATACAGCAATTCTTGAATTTTTCCAAGGGAGAACACTGTTTTCCTATGGATTCTCTTTCATTTCCTAAGGATTTGCTTGGTTTCTCCTCTGGAAGACATGATTTTCCTACGGATTCCGTTGTGTGTTTTCCAAGTTTTCCTTAGCCTTTCCTAGGAAAACACCATTTTTCTATTACTTATGGCATTCGTGTCATTTCTTCAGGTTTTCAGAAGGAAAACATACGTTATCTTTGGTTGTTCCTCGGGAAAATCAAACTTTCGTTGCAATTTCGCATCTAGGACGGAATTCGTGTTGTAGCTGTTGCTGGTATTCCGCTTCATCACCTATCTTAAACACACCCCCTCATTTGGCGATTCTGGTTAGCGGGGGGGTTGGGGGGGGCGCAGCCCCCCCCCATTTGCAGACACAACGCTCACATGAATCAAGCTTGCACGGCTCGAAAAGCGCGGCGGTGGGTCTTTCGTTCTTCCGTGCCTGTTCGTGTCTCTTCTTCCGTCAGCATTCTATAACATAATATAACATAGTAGACCATAAGAACGACATAAGATGGTTCGACATCACAAAAACCGTGTGACATTTTCTGACATAACAGAACCTTGCTTCTTATAGCATCTAATAAACATAACAAAAGACGACAATACAATATAACAGAAGATAACATAGAACAAAACAACATCTTAGTTTATAGTGTAATACATTGTAACATAGTACAATATAATTTGTATATATAGAACATAATATTTAGTATACTATATAACATCAGGTTACATTATGCTAAATATTTTTGGGTCCATTACGATATTATTGCATATTCGATTGGACTATGTAGTATCCTATTGCTTGTACTTTTGTTTCTGTGATTCTTTCATGTTCTTTCTCTTTCGTATTTTCCAACTTTGCCTCTTTATTCTGGATGTATTTCTTTCTTTCGCTCGTTCATTTCTTTTATTTCTTTCTGGTGTTCTTTCTTTATTCATTTCATACTCCCTTCCTTCCTTTCTTTCTTGCTTTCTTTTTCGTTTATTTCGTTCTTTTTCTCGTCCTTTCTTTCTTTCGTCCTGTCTTCGTTTCTTTCTTTCTTTTCAGATACAGCAATTCTTGAATTTTTCCAAGGGAGAACACTGTTTTCCTATGGATTCTCTTTCATTTCCTAAGGATTTGCTTGGTTTCTCCTCTGGAAGACATGATTTTCCTACGGATTCCGTTGTGTTTCCCAAGTTTTCCTTAGTTTTTCCTAGGAAAAACACCATTTTTCTATTACTTATGGCATTCGTGTCATTTCTTCAGGTTTTCAGAAGGAAAACATACGTTATCTTTGGTTGTTCCTCGGGAAAATCAAATTTTCGTTGCAATTTCGCATTTAGGACGGAATTCGTGTTGTAGCTGTTGCTGGTATTCCGCTTCATCACCTATCTTAAACACACCCCCTCATTTGGCGATTCTGGTTAGCGGGGGGGTTGGGGGGGGCGCAGCCCCCCCCCATTTGCAGACACAACGCTCACATGAATCAAGCTTGCACGGCTCGAAAAGCGCGGCGGTGGGTCTTTCGTTCTTCCGTGCCTGTTCGTGTCTCTTCTTCCGTCAGCATTCTATAACATAATATAACATAGTAAACCATAAGAACGACATAAGATGGTTCGACATTACAAAAACCGTGTGACATTTTCTGACATAACAGAACCTTGCTTCTTATAGCATCTAATAAACATAACAAAAGACGACAATACAATATAACAGAAGATAACATAGAACAAAACAAGATCTTAGTTTATAGTGTAGTACATTGTAACATAGTACAATATAGTTTGTATATATAGAACATAATATTTGGTATATTATATAACATCAGGTTACATTATGCTAAATATTTTAGGGTCCATTACGATATCATTGCATATTCGATTGGACTATGTAGTATCCTATTGCTTGTATCCTTGTTTCTGTGATTCTTTCATGTTCTTTCTCTTTCGTATTTTCCAACTTTGCCTGTTTATTCTGGATTTATTTCTTTCTTTCGCTCGCTCATTTCTTTTATTTCTTTCTGGTGTTCTTTCTTTATTCATTTCATACTCCCTTCCTTCCTTTCTTTCTTGCTTTCTTTTTCATTTTTTTCGTTCTTTTTCTCGTCCTTTCTTTCTTTCGTCCTGTCTTCGTTTCTTTCTTTCTTTTCAGATACAGCAATTCTTGAATTTTTCCAAGGGAGAACACTGTTTTCCTATGGATTCTCTTTCATTTCCTAAGGATTTGCTTGGTTTCTCCTCTGGAAGACATGATTTTCCTACGGATTCCGTTGTGTTTTCCAAGTTTTCCTGAGTTTTTCCTAGGAAAAACACCATTTTTCTATTACTTATGGCATTCGTGTCATTTCTTCAGGTTTTCAGTAGGAAAACATACGTTATCTTTGGTTGTTCCTCGGGAAAATCAAATTTTCGTTACAATTTCGCATTTAGGACGGAATTCGTGTTGTAGCTGTTGCTGGTATTCCGCTTCATCACCTATCTTAAACACACCCCCTCATTTGGCGATTCTGGTTAGCGGGGGGGTTGGGGGGGGCAGCAGCCCCCCATTTGCAGACACAACGCTCACATGATGGGTTTCGAAAACACTGTTTGAATCAAGCTTGCACGGCTCGAAAAGCGCGGCGGTGGGTCTTTCGTTCTTCCGTGCCTGTTCGTGTCTCGTCTTCCGTTAGCACTCTATAACATAATATAACATAGTAAACCATAGGAACGACATAAGATGGTTCGACATCACAAAAATAGTGTGACATTTTCTGACATAACAGAACCTTGTTTCCTATAGCATATAATAACATAATAAAAGACGACGATACAACATAACAGAAGATAACATAAAACAAAACAACATCTTAGTTAATTTATGTCATTTCGTCTTCTTTATTTCTCCATTTTTGTTCATTCGTTATGTCTGTATTATTTGCTTTTCTTTGTTTCTAACTCTCGTTCGTCCTTTCATTGTGTTTTCTTTTTTATTTCCTTATAGCTTTCTTTATTTATCTATTTGTGTATTTTTGATTTCTTTCTTTCCTTATAACTATGCTTTATGTATTTCGTTCTTTCTTGCTTTCTTGCTTTCTTCCGCTCTTTCTTTGTTTCGTTCTTTCTTTATGTTTCTTTCTCTCTCTCTCTCTGTCTTTCTTTCTTTCCTTCGTTCTTTCTTTCTTTTTTTCTCTCTCTCTCTCTCTCTCTCTTTCTGTGTCTTCTTTCCTCCGTTACCACCCCCCTCCTTTCGTGGATACCTGTTTAATTTTTTGTGATCCTTATTTAATTTCTTTTTGATCCTTATTTTATTTTTTTGATCCTTATTTAATTTGTTTTTAACCCCTATCCCGTGGTTGTGGTTGTGGCTGTGGCAGAGGACTAGGGGACCGCATGCACCAGGGGACCAGGAGACCACGGGACCAGCAGACCAGAGGACCAGGGGACCACAGGACCAAGGACCAGAGGACTAGGGGACCGCGAGCAGAGGACCAGGGGACCACAAGACCAAGGACCAGAGGACTAGGTGACCGCATGCACAAGGGACCCTTGGCCGCACCTCGCAAACAAGGGTAGGCCGCACCTTGGAAAAAAAAAAAAAACATGGCCCCTATCCCGCTTTACTGACCTAAATTCGCCTCGGCTCGGCTTAGGGTTGAGGGCGTGACTTAAGGACTGATTTATGAGGCTCTCTATGCCGAAGAAAAAAGCCAAGAAGCCGAAAAGCCAAGAAGCCAGAGGCCAAGAAGCCAGGGAAGCCGAGAAGCCAAGCCAAGCGCGCACACAAGCCAAAAAAAAAAATGCCAAAAAACAAAAAAAAAAAATCCTAAAATAAATACGCCTCCCTAAGGAAACACATCCGAAGTGTGCAACATGTCGCAACTGAACTCCCTCTCACATACCCCCAGTACATTCATTCGAAACGATATCGCTTCGCTTCGTTTTCTCAAACCCGCCGAGGATTGACACCAGGCCAAGAGTGGGGGGTTGGCTTGGCACCCTTCGTTTGTTTTTGATTAGCTTGCTTCTATGGCTTTATCAGGAGGATTATCTTGCAGTTTGGCTTCTCAGGAGTGCGGAGTGCACAGGATGAAGGCAGGACTGCAGGAAGGGTTCGAAAGGCTGCCGTTTTCTGCACATGAATCTAGCGTGTGCCCGGAAAGTGCGACTTGAAGTGCTTTCCCAGCCTTCTCCCCCTCCGCCGCTGACTTTGTGCCCGGGTCGGTTTGGGCTGGCTGATACGTAAGGTAGCGACGATGAGGCTTTCGCACCATTGCCGAGCTTCACAAGAACCGAAAGACAGAAGGGGAAAACCGCGCCTCGTCCATGGAGGGCCGTCGCTTCATCCGCACCGACTTCGGTGACTGCGGCACCGCGCCCTGTTGACGAAAGAGACTGCGGCCGGAAGTCCGGGACCCTGGTACCCTGGCATGGCTCCGCACGCGTTCCCAGGCCTTCGGTGAGAGCAGGACGTCATCTTCGAAGTTCCGCCGAGAGTGCACGTGCGCGTGGGGCAACCTGGAATAGACACGGAGACGCAGCACAAAGCAGAGGAATCTTGAGGCTTCTCTCCCGCCAGGCCCCTGGCAGCACGATCTCCCCCAGTCTGCTGTCGAAGGCCGCCACGAAGGCGGAGGCATCCTTTGCCCGGGCCATCTTGAGGATCAAGTCCTGCAAGTCACGAAGCTCCCACCCTTTGTGCTGTGCTGCGGCGGGCGGCCGCCCTGCCCACCCCCTCCCTGTGCCAACACCTCGTCAACTGCAAGGGCCGCTAAGCTCTCGCTGACCTCCGTCAAGTCATTCTCCCGGTCACTGGCGCGTGAGGCAGTTCCATGTACAGCGCGGTAGAGCAGAACTTCTGATGACCGTCTCCCCAGAAAGCTGTGGATGCACTTCTGAGATCTTCAAGGAGGGTTCCGAAATGCTGACAAGGAATCGCCTCCGAACCGCCCGGCTGGCCCCTCTCAGGCCTGTGGCACGCCAGCGCAATCAAGAATCTCACCTCAGAAAGCGGCTATGCCCGTGTCTTCTCAGTCTGCAGAGTGTGCTGTGATCCAACGGATCCATAGAGGTCCGCTCGCTCCACTTTTCTCACCTTCCCAGGATTTGGGGGTCCCTGCAGGGGTGTTCGCCGCGAAATTCATGGGCAAGGCAACCTGACGAGCAGCGATGCAGCAACTGCTTGGGAGTGAATTCGCTAAGTTACCGCGACGACACCTTCAAGCGCACAAAGGCCGCACAGATACTGCTGCTCGCAGGTATCTGGTCGTTCAAGAGCGTCAGGACCTCCAATGCCAATCTTTGAGCGCGCGCTTTGCTGCGTGCACTCTAAACTCTAAACGTCTCCAAACGCACTCTGAGGCCATGGCCAAGCACGCCTCGTCACCCTGTGCGGGGTCCACCTCGGGGCTCTTTTGCTGTCTCATCTCTCAACTCATGGCTGCCTCTGAGGTCTCCACAAGCTCGCTTCTTGCCTGCAGCCGCTCGTAGCGTTCTCCCTACTTCCCCCCGACCACTCTGTTACACTCTGTGCTAGCGCTGGCCTGGCCTGGGAGTCCTTCTGGACTCCATCCCTGGCTCGGGTCAGCAGAGCCTTGGTGACCTGCACGCGGACAGTAGCTTTTTCTGTCTCCTGCCGCTCTGCAGAGGACCAGGGTTGGGGGGCCTGCCCAGCTGCGGCTTCCGGCAAGCCCGACATGGTGAGCCGCTCGAGCACGGCATCAATGGCAGTGCCTGACATGTCGCAAACCTCCCGCGGCTCTCCCAGCCGCGCACACACCTGATGTTGCAAACCCGTCTTAACTTCGCCTCTAAGCCTGTCATGCTGAAAAATACATTGGCACCTCTCCGTGGCCGAACGTCTCTGCTTCTCGGCATCGCGGTTTGATTTATTTGACTTCGCTCGACATGGCCTGGATTGCTTGCAATCACGTCGATCGCCACGGAGTCTTGGACGACACACCTGCACCGTGGCTTTGGCATTTTGGAACAACAGCAGCAACAACAACAACAACAACAGCAACAACAACAACAACAACAACAACAACAACAACAACAACAACAACAACAACAACAACAACAACACCAACAACAACACCAACAACAGCGGCAGCAGCAGGAGGAGCAACAGCAACAACGACAACGACCACAACCACAACCACAGCCACCAACCACGACCACGACAACAACCTCAATCACAACAACAAGAACAAGACAAAGTACCACTGCCTCTACGACCTCCACTACTCCTGCGACTACGATGACGACGACGACGACGACGACGACTACTACTACTACTACCGCCGCTGCTCCGCTACTGCTCCTACTGCTACTGCTACTGCTACTCCTGCACTTCCACTACCTTTACTGCCGCAGTATTCCCACCCAGTACTGCCACTACCCGCTACCACTGCCACTGCTGCTGCCACTTGCCACTGCTGCTACCGCTACCGTCGCAGCTGCCGCTACCACTGCCACTACGACTACCACGATGAAGACGACGACTACGACTCCCGCTACAGCTAAAGCTTCTGCTTCTGCTCTACTGCCAGTGCTGCTACTACTGCTACTACTGCTACTGCTACTCCCACTCCTAGTCCTGGTACTCCTTCTCCACTCCTCCGCCTCTTCTTCCTCCTACTACCAGCCCCACCACTACTATGACGACGACTACCACTGCCACTGCTCTTACCACCATTGTTGTTGCTACTGCTACCACCAGCAGTCACTAAAGAGCGGCTCTCTGGGCCTCTTTACCAGCTGCAAGCCATGGCAACTCACCTTCGGTAAGTGGGGCGTATCAGCCTCGGGGCAAGCGCGCAAGCTGCACGACTCTTTCAAAAGACCGGTGATCATCATTTACTCACAAAAATCTAAACAAATTATCTAGCTGCCTGTATATCAATTCGGCGTCAATATCGGTTATCATCAGCAGTTTGCATGTATGTCCGTGAATCTACGTATGTGTGTATACACACATGTATATATATATATATATATGTATGTATGTATGTATGTATATACGCTCCCCCTCAGAACCAAAAAAGCTAAAACAACACAAGAGAAACCCGAAAACTCCCAAACACCCGAAAACTCAACCAAAAACATGCAAACAGAAACCCACCCACATGAAAAAAAAATACTACAAGAACTCTGATGATAAATTCTGAAACCCTGGGTTTGGGTTTGCAGCTATTCAGAAGGACGTGCTCGCGTGCCTTCACGAAGAGATCGACTTCGAGTCCTGCATCGGAACAGAGCGAGGAGTGGGAGGGGAGGCCACGGAGAAACCAAGTGAAGAGAGAAGAAGCCGAAGAAGCCAGGCGTGGCCTTGTCTCAGGCAGCGCTCCATCTTCCACTCCTCTTCGTCCTCCTCCTTCCTCGGCGCCACTGGCTTCAGACCGCGGGACCGTGGCTTCGGACTTTTCTTGGGAGCCGTGCCGATCGACCTCGATGAAGTAGCTGGTGGGAGGCGCCACCTGCAAAACTCCGGGCGATGAGAGCAGCGCTGGGGTGGGTCCCGTTTGTGAGGTCTCCTCGTCGATGGACTCTTTCGAGGCATCGGAGTTGCGCCTGAGCATCTCAGTCTCGAGTCTGAGTCTTGAGCTCCTTTCGCTTCGGCGGCCCGGACCCGGGGCCCCAGCCTGGCTTCCTGCGCTTGCAGGTTTGCCTGCGGTCACGGGAGCAAGATCGTTTCAGTCCCCCCCTGCTGTGCGTTCCGTTGTTCAGTCGCAAAACCGACCTGCTCCGGTGAGACTAAGCCTCAATGAGACTTGCATGACTCGAGGCACCGGAGCAAGTTTCCGACGGCCGGGGGCCCGGACTCATCCTTCTCTGGATGCCCGACACCAGGGAGTGGGAGAGCAAGTAATCTCCTGCCAGGCGCGCTGGCTGCGTAGGGCGTTTTCCAACAAACCTCAACCCGCAAGCCGAAACAAACCGCACAAATCGCCTCTTGGGCTGTGGGTTCCCGACGCGCGTTTGGCCGCCTGCAAGAGCAGAAGCGGGCGAAAGCGGAGTTTGCCTCTTCGCCGGAGCTCGGCAGAAGGGGCCTTGTTCAGCTTCACCGTCGGGACCTGCGGCTTTGCGTGTTTGGAGGGCGTACGCGTTGCACGCATGATGACACTGAGGAGCCGGCGATGGTAAGCTGCGCCAGGTGGGCATCTAACGCCTCGAAGATGCAGTAAAGTCTACGAACCAGGCTTCGCCTTCGCCCTCTCTCTGCCGGGCCAGCGCTAGGTCCCCGGACTCCCAGGATGAGTGGAGACCTCGGGGCGGACCGTGCCACCGACACGAACTCCTGATAAACGACAGCACCCTCAATCGAAGTTTGAGAGCACGGAAACAGACAACAAGGTGTCCTCATCCATGAAGGTCGTAGCCTTCAGCTCTCGCTCTCAGCTCTCCACCGGGCTTCAAATCGCTCGAGGCGATGCCGAGTTTAGGCTGCCGACAATCAGGCGCGCGAGGGCCTGGCCCTGTGTCGCGGAGGTGCGATCACAAATCACCACCTTGGAGCCACCCGTGAAGACGCTCTCGCTCCACACCCTGCAATCTGCAAATCTGCGCAAACCTTATGCTCGTTCGGGGCCCCTGCTGCTGCGAAGCGGATCTCGCCCCCCCCCTCGTCGTCTTCGAAGCAGACCATCGTCTGAGATTCAGGAGCTGGTTCGTCAAAAGAGGCTTGCGGGGGGCTATCTTGAGGTCCATCTCACGCGGGCGGCTCCGCTCCTCCTTCTTGGAGAGCCGCGCCAAGGCCAGGGAGGGCTGCTCCTGGCTCTCCCCACCTGAAGACGAGGCTCGATGAGGTTACTTTGCTTCTGAAGAATCTGCAGGGTCTCGAACTCGAGGGTAAGGCACTCGACGAGGCCCGGACTTGCAGAGCAAACAAAGACCTCGATGGCCTGGCAGAGAAAGGGAACCGAAAGCCAAAAGCACACCACCAAGACGGAAAAGGAAAGGGATCCAGCCCACGAGCCCGGCCCCGGATCCCGTCCTCACCCACTGCGTCGTCCTTGGACGGTGTGCGCTCCTGCCAGAACTGGAGCGGTCGCAGGCACGGATAACAGGAGATGCTTCTACGCTTCAGCTCCTGGGTGACATAGGGATGGTCGTGCAGGAGCAGCTCCACCTTCCCCGTTTTCAACATCGCAGGTGTAAACGTCCCATTCTCCAGGAAATGACTTTGGGGCGTGCTTTTTCCTACATCTACTTCAAAGACAAGCAGGGGGCCTCTTGCAAAATGCTGCCAGCCATTGTGCCACCCAGCTCTGCCAGCCTGAACAGTAGTCGGGACCGCTGTAGGGTGTTCGAGTTCGGGGCATTTCTGCCGAGTTACATCTTCGTGAAGAGCTCCGAGAACTTGAACTCGCCTCTGCTGCGGCTGGTGTATGCGTGAAGCTTGCGTCTGTACGAATCACCGCGGACCTCACCCTTCAAGCCTCGCCGTCTACAGCGAGAGGAGGTAGGGAGGGAGGGAGGGGAGGGAGAGAGAGAGAGAGAGAGAGAGAGAGAGAGAGAGCGAGAGCGAGAGCGAGAGCGAGAGCGAGAGCGAGAGCGAGAGCGAGAGCGAGAGCGAGAGCGAGAGCGAGAGCGAGAGCGAGAGCGAGAGCGAGCGAGTGAGATGGAGGCAGGGAGAGGCTTGAGGCTTGAAGAGGCAAGGAGTCCAAGGGTGTGGCCGCAGTCCGCGATGTCCAAGAGAAGGCCGGCAGGAGTCTTCAACGAGTCCTCATTGAGCTACGCCGCAAGCTTGGCAGGTCCGACCGCCACGACCCTTCGGAATGCCGCACCCCTGGTTTCTCCCGTGTTCGCCTGGAGTTGCGTCAGAGCTGTCAGCGAGGTGGAGGGCAAGTGCACCTTGCCGCCAAATATGGACAGGATCTGTCAAGCAGGACAGCACCGCCAGAAGCCTCGCGCTCCGTGTTATTCTCAGACCTGCACACATTGCAAGAATTGATCGGAGACGTCCCCCGAAGAAGAAGCAGCCCTCTTAGCCCCCTGCAGGTCTTCGCATGTCGCCGCGTCTTTCTTCAAGTCCTGGCGGGATCGCTGCACGACTGGCTCCCAGCAGTCCAGAGTCCGAACGTGCGCAAGTCGGCAGCTCAGGGCCGGGCCACTTCGAGCCCGGCACAGAAATGATGCGTCCTGAGGAAAGCGCGAAAAGCGCGCCGCCCCTCTCCCTGCTGCCCTCTGCCCCCAACTCTACAACTCGCTGCAGCCGGAGGGCTCTTGCCACCCGGAGGCTGTGTGCTCCCAGAGCCGTGCAGTGTACGACGGACCTTGGAGCCAGATGAAAAAAGAGATCATATAGCAGCCAGCTAAAAATTGGAAGGAGACGCAACCACAACAAAAACACGCGTGCCCATCTTCGGGCAGCACGCCTTGCGAAGCTCAACTCGGGCTGCGGCACTTGAACTTACTCGGAGGCTCTGTGTTTGACGCCCGGGAGGATCGTCGCTGTTGTCGGAGGTCTACCGGTATAGATATCCTTAGGCGCAAGCCCTGTCACGGAGTTTCAGGACTCGCAAACTCTTCGCGGATGGACCCCGGATCAAACCTCTTGCTTGACGGTTACATCCTGCGGCCCTGGTGAACTGACAGCTCAGCTGTTCTGCCGTGCCACGCTCCTTTAGCTGCCACCTCGTCGACGGCTTTGTTCTGCGACTCCTCTAGTGACCCCAGCCCAACACTCAGAGACCACACACAAGACCCGACCCTCGCCAATCACCCACACAATCCTGCCAGGTGGACAGTTCACGACGCTTTGAGACATGCTGCGGTTCACTTGACTATCCATCTTCGCTGGCTCATCTGCTGAACCCTTTACTTCACGCAAAGCGCCGGGGGCCGGCCTGGACCTCCTCATTAACAACCCCGGGCAGGTCTCCGAAGCCCTGCAAGGCAGATTGCCGCTTTCGTAGAGGAGAGAAGGGCCCCCCTCTCGACTGGCCAGGCGGCCCGCCTGGTTCATGTCAGCCATCGCCGTTTGGAGGCGCCGCTTTTGCGGCTCCGTGCTCTGAGCTACTTAAGTCCGAGCTGGGGCGTTGTCAGGCTGATGGCTGGCTGGCTGCTCTCTGCTCTTGCTTTCTGCTTTTGTGTGCTGCGCTCTGGGGCGGGAGGAGCCGGGGTCTGGTTGGCGCTTAAGGTTTGGAGTTGATGGCCTCTTTCTTCGGAGCTCCGAAACAGCTGCGGAAGACTCAAGGGTGCCTGGACCTAGCATCAGCTCCGGCCCGCTGAGAAGGCCATCAAAGAAAAGGAACCGGAACCCGGTACTTGTGCAGCCCTGAGCCCCCTCAAGAAGACGCCTGTCCAGACTCCGAGGGCGCTCCCGGCTGGAAGTAGGTGCTCGCACCCTTCGGGTCGATGCAAATGTACCTGGTGTCTTGGCTAGGAAAATCAATGGTATCACTACTGCACCTCTTCCTTACTGTTACTGTTACGTACGGATTCTGATGCTAATTCTGTTTTCTCTTATGATTCTGATGACGTAGACTGCTGCCACGATTCTGATTCTGTCCCTTTCACTAAGAAGTATGCTGTTCTGCTGGCGTGCTCTTCTTTGGACTCTAGTCTTGGCGCACTCCCAGTCTCCGCGTGCGAAGCCCGGGAGCTGCGGCAGATGGGCTTTCGGCGCTTCGGCCTGCAAAACACGGCCCCCCCTAAGGATCCTCATTGCGCTAGCTGCCTTCGGGTTGTTCTTCAGTGCCCCAAAGAGAGGAGGCTCCAGACTTTAGGGGATTTCAAGCAAAAGCTCCGGCTGAGAGCCGCGATTGGGCCTCTGGGGTCAGCACCCGGATGCCCTTCAGGGCCATTGGGAGGTAATAGGCGCCGACCCTGGAGACAGGGCCGCCGACAAGGGCTGTCTGAAGTTTGTCTCTTGCGATAGAACAGAAAAGGTGTGTGGCACTGGGGATAATGTGGGGATATCATGGCGACACCAGTTCGGCTAGAAGCTTTGTGAGTGCACAGCTACCAAGCAAAGTTCCTCGAACGACCTAAATTTTTGAACTGTGGTGTGCAGACTCCCGTTTGTCGACTGCTCATGTGCATGTGGATTGGTCCCGAGTCGGTCCCATGGATGCAACAGAAAACCCACTGCATCGGTGTCATGACGAAGCGCATACAACCTTTAAACTAAAACCTCGACTCGACCCAGCCTTCTACATTGCCACCTGAGCATAGTGACATAGTGACATAGTGAATATCACTGGGAAAGCAACGGTTCAAGATCATTTCTTGCAGAGCCCGGCCCCACTGGTCCGTCGCAGTAGCTTTGGCATGTTGGCAAATCCTCACACATACAGTAGTGATCGATGCGCAAGCTTATGCAACGCGTTCCATTTGGAGCACGAGCAGCACAGACAGGTGTTGGGCAGGCAAGTCAAGTTCTCAGTAGTTCAAAAGAAAATCCAAAACGAAAAAGACAATGCAAGGAGGTGTGACAGGCGAGAAGAACCAAGAAGTCCAATCAACGTCTGTGAAAAACCGCACGAGGTAGAGCGAAAGAAGAATACCGTCGTTAGACCTTTTGACGTTCCAACACCCGCATCGGAAATGTTGCTGTAGGGCCCAATCCCTACTTTTGGCAGGTGCACAAATCGAGAAGTGTACCGCAGGTGCACAAATCGAGAAGTGTACCACATCTTGTCTGGCAGGTGCATGACCCCTGCTAAGGATGACACGCACAAATCCGAATGGCTCAAGCACGAGCCCTATGAAGGGCGCAGCGAAGTGGGTGCGAAAAGCACCTTGGGGCATTGGGGTTTGGGTTGCTTGTTTGAGGGTCCTTGTAGTGCCTTGCTATCTTGCATGCTACTCGATGTACTATGGAGAAGTATGATCATCTAGATGACTTACCTATGCAGATTAGAAGGCATCATGCAAGTCCTACTCCTAGTCACTATTCTATTGTTACGAACAGCCCTTCCCCTGAACCAAACACCAGAAATCAACAGGTTATGAGTCCAAACCCTCTCGAAACTACGCATGACACTGCATCATCAACAACAGCATCTGCACCAGCCACTTTGCAAGCAGCGGCAGAACAGCAGCAGCTTGGAGGGCAGGTGACGCTTCAACAGATGACTCGCATTAGCATACCTGCTGAAACGCTGCGAGCCTTTGGAACGAGTATTGGTGAGGATTTGAGTTTTGCGGCTGACATCCAGGCCGCGGTCATAGAGCTTTCTTCTCGCATCCAGTACCGTACTGAAGTTCTCGCTGGGGCAGTGGGAGCTGTTGGGGGATCAGTTGGAGAGTTGCAAGCAGGCTGTCAAGTGCTAACTGCTAGCCTGGATCAGCTTCGGGACGCGGTGGTTAGACAACAAGCTGCAGTGCAATCCCTGGTGGAAGGCCGGGAGAGTGATCGTCGTGATGCGCGCACACAATTCGAGGCGATCAAACATGACCTTAGGAGCTACCTAGAAGAACGAGGTGCAGAGGAGCAGCAGGTCAAGAACAAGCTAGACGAATCCTTGCAGAGAGAGGCGAGCTTACTGGCGAAGGTAGAAGCCCTATCTGGTAGAGTTGCTGAGCTGGATGAGTCTGTGAAATACACTCTGATGAGCATGCAAGAGCATAAGCGCAGATTGGATGCCCAAGAGCGTGACATTTATGCACCTTTGAAGGGTGAACCCGGGGATCAAGCTTCACTGGCACGAGCGGTGCAAGTCTTGGCTGAAAAGGTCGATCGGGAGCTTGCTGTGTTGACTACGCAGCAGCGTGAACAAGGTGAGGGCCTACACAACAGTTTGGAGCAATTTCGAGCTGATGTGTTACCCAAGGTCCAGACCGAAATAGACAGGCTTGATGAGAGAGTGAGCGCTATCGAGGAAGGCCCTGACAAGTTGGAGGAAGCTCAGCTAGGGGGTACAACTTCGAAGGACTTTCATCGGGATACACAGTCACCTCAATTGCATCCGATGCCCGCACAGAACGATCGCGAGCCAGTGCATTTTGAGCTGACGCCCAACGCTGATCAAGCACCTAGCTTTGGGGTTCAAGATGCCTCTTCCGCTTGGTGGGATCAGACTGGAGAAGAGCCAGAGCTTTGGAGCACGTGGGAACGTGGAAGAACAGAGGTTGATCCTCTCAATCCATGGGGTCTCACTGCTCCTCCACCTGGTCTAGGATCCAGGAGGAGAACATCCTCAGGAAGGTCACCGAGTCCTGGCGCAAGGCCTGGAAATCGGAAGTCGGCACCCGAGATTCCGAACGGAAAGTGGAAATGTTTGACGGATCTTCCAAAGTATCATCAAGAACCAGGGGAACCCTGGGAGCTGGGATTGGGTTTCACAACATGGAAACGACAAATCCTGGCGGTTTGCACGACGGTTGCACCGGAGTTTGCAACCTTCGTTGAGGATCGATTTCACTTGGCACACCAGAGACATGAGAGCCGGATGTCTGGAGCTCCTATTGCTGAGGCCCCAAAGCTTGAAGCATGCTTTGAGACATATGAGGCTCGATTGGTGGTTAGCTTGATGCGGATTCTTCCAGCAGAGGTCAAAGACAGCGCAGTTGAAGATGCAGAGAACAAGATTACATCACTGTCATTGTTAGAGGAGTTGGTGCATCAAGTTCAACCTGGAGGCCAAGAAGAAGTTGCAAGTTTGTTGCGATACATGCGCAACCTTGACCCAGCCCAATCAGCTAGAGATGCTTTGGAGAGTATCCGTAGGTGGAAGCTAGCCAGATTGCGCGCAGCAGCTTTGAATCTTCCCAGCACAGCCCCGTCTGAAGCGATGAGAGCTCTATGTACGCTAGTAAAGCACATTGAGAAGCGAAGCGATTCATTACGTACCAGGATGAGTCTCATCAAGCTGTCTCCGGACATCCAGCGTCCCACGGAACTAGGAGTTCAGATGATCCTCGAAACGTTGGATAAGGAATTGCGTCAGCTTGCAGCTGACGAACAGCTGAAGGCAAACAAGAATGAGCAACAGTCTTCGGTGTTAGCCAAGGGCAAAGGAAAGGACAAAGGAGGCAAAGGAAAGGACAAAGGAGGCAAGGGAAAGGACAAAGGAAAGAGCAGCGCAAATCAGGGCAAAGGAGCAGGAGAATCGCAACCCAAGGAGTCAAACATTGATGCAAGGAAGGACAAGCCTTGCAAGTGGTTTTGGGGTGAAGCAGGATGCTATCGGAAAAACTGTCCTTTTTCCCACGACGAGAAACATAAGCCTAAGCCCAAGGCTGCAGCAGCACCTAATGCCACAGCATTGGTTGGAGCAAATGATGATGAAGGACAGAAGGGTAAACCCAAGGCTAAACCAAAGGCCAAGGCCAAGGCGTCAGCAGTGACTTCCATGATCATGATGGCACAAAGCAATCCGGTGAGTGATTTCAGTTCTTCTTCTAGCGATGAGGACAGCTCAGACTTGGAGGCACTGTCAAATGCCGGGACGGTTGCTTCGACTGATAGCACTCAGAGTCTTTTGTCAAGTGAGCATGATCTAGTTGATGAGCTTGCGGATGCTATGCGGGACGCAAGGTTGCACCGAGCAGAGCGGGATCAGCTTTGGCGTTTGCACTTGAATCCTAGGGAGTTCAACACATGGGCTCAGCACTGGGAGTGCGGTGAAGTCATCATGAGCTCTAGGCCTTTTGTGCAAGTCACGGAGGGTAGGGATGTTGCAGTAGGAGTTGCGTGGGCTTTGGAGCGAGCGGAA